TTCATGAGTGAGAAATTTAACTGCCTTTGCAACAGGATTAAGAGGGTGAAAAATTAATCTAACTATGGTATTGAAAGATGTGGCCTTTGGGAGGTGATTAAGTTCATCAGGGTAGGGAAACCATGACTGAATCTTGGTGGTTTTATAAGGATAGGGAATGAGACAGAGACATTAGTGCAAACACAGAAACACGAGCTCTTACCATACGATGCCCTGCATCACCCTAGCACTATGCAGAAAGTCCCCATGTGAAAGATAATCCTCATCACACATGGTCTCTTGATCTTGGACCATCAAACTATGAGCTAAACAAACCTCCATTCTTTTAAAATTATCCACACTCAAGTATTCAGCTACAAAACAACACAAAACACTAAACACTAGATGTTTTCTGGTAAATTTCAACTCTGACTGACAGGCATCGTAGCTGGTTCCAATGCTAAGGAATAAGAATTTTGTGAACTGATAGCTATTTCACATTCCTGAAGATTCAGGTAAAACAAACAGGGAGCATAAAAAAGCCTTCCTATAGACTGCTAGGCTGAGAAAATGATGATTTCAAAGTTTATATAAGAAAGCCTACTACATGTACACCTGATGTGCAATTAGCAAGTAAGAAAGCTGTCTGGTGAAAAGCCAAATATGAGCACACAGGAAATCTAAATACCAACTCCAAAAGACTAAATCATTAATTTTACTGTAAGTCTGCATCACCACATCCAGGTTAATATTGTTAAGAGTTCCCCAGGTAATCTCTTACCTCCAGTCAGGCACATCCTCCAAATCCATTTTTTAAAAATCTAAATTTTCTTCAACCATTTTCACTGTGGCATTCCTCTACTAAAAACTCTCAATCAAGTCTAAATTCAACTCTGGCCACTGTGATTCAATCTAATCTAATCTACTCCATCTTATTTCTGGAGTTAAGAGTGGTTGGTTAAATATGCTGCAAATTCTTTATAGTCCCTAACCAAGAAGAGAGGTGGTCTATTTCTCCCATCTTTGAATATGGGTTGGTCTTTTAACTTGCACTAACAGACCATGGCAAGAGTGACACTGTGCTACTTCCAATGCTCAGCCTCCAAAAGCCTTCAGTTCCTTCTCTTGCCCTCTTGGAGCATTAGTATATAAGAAAACTGGGCTATCCCACTGGAGAGAACATGTAGAAAGGAACCAGCTGATGGCCCTAATTAATTGCCAAACGTGTGAGTAGGGTAACCTTGGTACTGCCTGACCACAATCAAGGCATAGATGACTGTAGCCAAATAAGTGAAACTTCAACCCAAAATAAAAATAAGGCCTACCTGAAGCCAACTCTAATTGAAAAGTCAAGAGCAAATAAATGGTTATTGCTTTAAGCCACTATATTTTTATATTATACAATATATTACATATGTTTAAAATATATTTAAATTATATATACATATAAAATGTATCTTCAGTGAAAAAACTCAATAACAAGAAAATGATTCAATTTTTGTTGTATTGTTTTTTAGATTTGTTGCTATACAGCACATGTGCTGGCCGGAGAGACAGAGAAAGACAGAGAGACAGAAAGCAAGAAATCACCTCCCAGGGGATATAGCCACACTGCAATCCCTTCTCCTCCATTCTCTCAGGATTTTGGGCATGCACACACACGCACCCAGCATACGTTTTAAGCAGACAGGTTCAGGACTCGAAGCACAGCCAACTACGTAGGAGTCCAGCAATGTAACCATTATGCCATCTGCTAGTCCTGAAAGTTTTCAAAGCCCGCAACCGATTTCTTCACCAAAGAAAATACATGAAAAACAAATAAGCACATGGAAAAAATGCTAAATATCTTGAGCCAGCATTGAGCACATGCATACAACCTGTAGCAAATTGAAAAAAAAGAAAAAAAGAAAGCTCTTAACATCTTACCATCTAGTATCATCTTCTTTTTTTAAAAAAAAAAAAGAATTATTTTATTTAACTTTTACTTATTTATCCCCTGGAGAGGATGGCCACGCTGCAATCCCTTCACCTCTCCACTCTCCTCTCAGGAGTTTGGACATACAAGCACTGTACCTGGCATGAGTTTCAAGTCACTGGGTCTGGGACTCAAACAGCAGTCAACCATGTAGGAGACCAGTACTTTAACTACTATTCCTCCTGCTGGCCCCCAACCTCTACTTTGAGAGATGATAAGCACTAAGTACATAATCATCTTCATATATAAAGTAGAGGAATTAGAAGATACATTAGATAAATTTTAATATCAATAATGTTTAAAACAATATAGCTGACACTTGAATAACGTGGGATTAAACTTCATGGGTCCACTTAGGCATATGCACAGATTTTTCCCCCATAAGTACTGTAATTATATTTTCTCTTCTTGAGACTTTAACATTTACTTTTCCCTACTTTACTGTAAGAACACAATATATAATACATATAATGTACAAAATACGTGTTGGAACTGTTCATTCTATTGGTAAGATTATTGGTCAACAGTGGGCTATTAGTAGTTATGTTTCTGGAAAGTAAAAAGTTCTATGTGGATTTTTGTGCAGGGTCAGCACTCCTAACTCCCAGTTTGAGCAGGGTCAACTGTGTAGAATTACCTCACTTATGAAACACTACATTTACCTGCTCCCTGAAAATAGGACACTCCTAACAGTGAATGCCTTCTAACAGATAAATGTCACTGTTTAGTATTTTTTTAATGGACTAGAAGTAGCAATGATGATAATTCTCCACATTCAGATCCAATAGGTTTATTTAACAATGAATTTTTTTATTTTTGAGAGAGAGATTTTTGCTATAGGGCACATGTGCTCATCAGAGAGACAGAGACAGAGAGACAGAAAGCGAGAAATCACCACTGTGGGGACACGTTTAAGAGAGAGAATCTGAGGTGTGGGGACATGCTCTGAGCAAACACCACCTGCTCTTTTGGGGTTTGGCAGAACCTTGTAACTTGTCTTTCCCTGACCTTGGCTGCAGACAGAGCAAGGGTGGAAATTACTAGGGGCGTTCCAACAGACACATCTGATGGACTTCAAGAAACATCTTGACCCCAATTAGTAAAGTCCAATCCCTGCTCTGCATCTGAAAGGTTCTTTAGCCTTCTCTGGGTGTGGTGGTGCACTCCTTATGGAGAAGTTCTTTAGCTCCTTCCTCACACCTACAGCTAGGTTTCTCTGCATTAGAAAAGAAGATGAGACTTTCTCTTGATGGGATTAGCACCTGGCCCAGTATGACTGAGCCTGGATTTGTTAACTGCTTCTTATTGTCTGTAACCTGGCAACCAATCTATGAAGTGTCATGAAACATACATGTGAATGTCTCCTTGTACTATAAATAAAGAGTCCCAGTTTGTCTGGGTGGCTCAAGTGGCTCAAGCAGCTCAAGCAGTGGCTCAGCTGCGGCACAAGCTTCTTGGGCTGCCTAGGCTCAGGCTGCTGTGTCCATTTCTATTCTATCTCTTTGCCTGTTTCCTTTTCTACTTTATACCTTTGTCTCATTCTTTCCAATTCCCCAGTCCTGGCAAGATGGAGGGCTTTCTCTTTCTTGTCCTCTTTCTCTTCCTCACCAGCAGCCCCCTGATAATGATTCAGCCAGACCCAAGTCCTGGGGTGGACTGACACACTACCAGGAGGTGGCCATGCCACAATCCCTTCTCTTCCATTCTCCTCTTGAGATCTTGGACATGCACACACATGTGCCTGGACTGAGGGTTAAGCTGCTGGGTATGAGACTTGAACTGTGGTCGACTACGTGAGAGTCCACAGACATAACCATTACACCATCTACTAGTTCCAACAATGAATTTTTATTTCTTCATTTTACTAAGTTATAGAAGACTAATTCATGATCTTAATTACTATAATGCCTTTCTTACAGCCAATATGATAAAATGTTTAATATACACTAAATTAAATCATATAAAGTTTGGATTTAATATATCAAAATTATAAAAATGTTGAGATAATTGCTAAGAAATATAAGTACATAAATGGCATTATGTATTTTGTTTTAATTTGCCTTAGGGCACAAGTACTCCCACAAGAACCAGAGAGAGAAGAAAAGTGAGAAAAGACCCCTCCCATTGGGGATGGTTACACCACAACCCTTTCTCCTCCATTCTTCCCTCCCTTGGGGATTTTGGACATATTCATGTGCCTGGTGTATTTTTCTCAAACCACTGAGTCTGGGATTCACACGATGCAGTCGGCCATGTAGGAGTCTAGCTGTTTTAACCACTACACCACCAACTGGCCTGATATTATTTTTATATAGTATGTCATATGCAAAATAAGATTTACCATTACAGATAAATTCTCCCTATTTTTTTAAGAGAGATTTTTGCTATAGGGCACGTGCGTTCAGTGGGCATGTGTGTGTGCGTGCGTGCTTGCGTGCCAAAATCCCCAGAGAAGAATGGAGGAGAAGAGATTGAGGCATCATCAATCAAGAGAGAGGGAGACAGACTGTGAGAAATCAGCCCCCAGGGGGATGATGATGCCTCAATCTCTTCTCCTCCATTCTTCTCTGGGGATTTTGGCACGCAAGCACGCACGCACACACACATGCCCAGTGTGAGTTTTTAAGCCACTGGGTAGGAGCCTCAAACCACAGTAGATTGCGTGGAAGTCCAGAGACATAACTGTTAGTCCATCTGCTGGTCCTGAAATTCTTCCTATTAAATATACATTCATGCATTCCTTAATGATGAGGACATTTCTGAAAAACGTTTCATTATGCAGTTTCCTCATTGTGTGAACATCATAGCACATACTTACATAAACTAAATGGTATAGCCTATTGCCCACAATCGTACAGTGAACGTCATTATGTGGCACATATACATAGAGATATTACTGGTATAAAAAGTACCCCCTAAGATATTTAAATTTGTGGCGAGATAGCAGTTCATAGAAACTATTAACTATTTTTCGATAGGTGAATGAAGCCATATACCTAAGAACAAAAGTATGATTTTATTCTTCTTTCAGTAACTTAGAACCTACCGGAGAGATTCAGCCATTCGCCTCAAGTCTTCATTTTGCTGTTTTAGGCGTTCAAGCTTTGCCAGAATCTTGGACAGTTCTCGGCTAGAGTGATCAGGGTGGTCATTATCTCGTACCAAGTGACCACCTATATAGAACAGCAAGGTCCCCCAGGCAAAAAGAATGAGCATAATCCAACGCCAGGAACCAGTCCATGGCCGCATTTTCAGATTTTCAACTCACTCCTCTGGCTTTCGGGAGCTCAAAGAATTGAAAACATTGTAACTGCGTTTCTAGTTAGTGCACAGGTGAATAGACTTCTGTTGTTTTAACACATATTGCTTCAGACAAATTAGTCTCTCTCATAAATCCTGTGGTGAAACTTTGAAAGAGATCCTCCAGGTGAGGTGAGTAGGGAACTTTATTGTCCTGTGCTTCATGGGCTCTACATACTGTGGAAAGAGAAAAAAAAAAAAGTATTTAAATTTTTTGAGGATATATAAAATAGAATATGATGAAATCCATGGTGTTAAAGGAAACATGCTGGTGTTGACTAGACAACAGGTTGGAAGATAACCTAAATGCTTAAAAACGAGTAAAAAGTAAAAATGTTAAGTCTCCAACCACATATAGTAGGGCACTACCAGATAACTGGACTACGATTGACCAAAATGTCATCATGTGGCACATAAGGATACACAGAAATTAATTTGCTTTAAGTCCTCTAACCACTATTATCAAATTTCCTTCTATACTATCATGCAATAACTCCAATGTGGATATTAAAAGATACTATCTTTAAATAATTAGTCAAAACCAAAAGGTATTTGGGCCAGATAGCCAGCAGAACTGAAATGCGCTAATGAAGTAAAGCCAGAGCCATATGGAAAATCACAGGTTCTGTTCCCCAGGTGACCTGCACATGCTGGACACAAAACTGTATGATCTTGGCTGGCTGGGGAAACTGGACGGATTGAGAGAGATCCTGTTTGAGGGTACTGCCTGTCTGCCCCTTTCTCTCTCACTCTGATTAAAGAAACTTTTTAAAAAATGTATTAAACTATACATTCTGAGCTAATTCATCCAATATCTCAAGCAGAAATTTTTTGTTGTTGTTTAAGTGAATTTATTCCTACAACTCTATCCTCCTCCATCTCACTGCTCAGCTGCCATTATATCACTTAACTTTGCAGGTGACAGGCGAATTGTCACATTTAGCATAAATCCTAAAACTGACATGCATATTTACCAAGCAAAGGTCACCACAGCCATTAACCAACCAGCAACCACTCCAAACATCACAAGCAAAACTTCAAATGGATCAAGTTAGACTATTTCTTCCTCAAATTTATTAAAAACACCAAAGAGCACAACAAAATTCTAATATCAATTAAATCTCTTTAACTGTGCTTCTTAAAACTACAAATGAATATACTTTCCCAGGCTTCGTTATAGTTTTCAGCTGTCATTTTTCTACCATTAGGCTTAGAATTCTCTTGGAAATGAAACTTTTTTCTCCCTAAAGAGAATTTGTAGGCAATGACACAATGTAAAATCATTTGAGAATTCCAGAGCCAAAGAAGAGAAGTCATATGTACAGGCACAGAACTCTCTGTAAAAAAAAAAAAAAAAAAAAAAAAAGAGAGAGAGAAAGAGACTAAAGACAAGACTATTTTATTCCAAGAATTCTTTATTCAAGCCGAATACCAAAAAGGGGAAATACCTATAGATTTTCAACTAGTCCTGAAACCAATATTGCAAAGAGCTTTTTGGTTAACTAATGATGATGGATGAATTTCATTTGCTTTTTATCATCCAAATAGTTTTCTGTTCATAATGATAGTTACTGTGAGGTGATTCAGCTGTGATGAAGCTTAAATAGCATCTAAAGATAAGTCCTGTGAACAGTGGTTACATCCTCCAGGGTTTTTTCTCTGTCTTCACTTTAGGTAATTATTCTTAATATGTCTTCAAGTGCACTTAACTTTTCTAGTACCTAATATGCTCTTAAGATTTTCTAAAGAATCTCTGAAAATTTCAGTCTTTGTAATTTTTTGTAGTTACAGAAATTGCAATTCTTTTGTACATTTTTTAATACATTTTTTTTTTTTAGAGATTTTTGCTACAAGACTATGAACTCACCAAAGAGACAGAGGGAGATAGAGAAAAAGCGAGAAGTCACCCCTAGGAGAGATGGTGACTCCATAATCCCTTCCCCTCCATTCTCCTCTCGGGATTTTGGACAGTGAGAGAAAGTGACAAATCATGCACACATGTGCCGTTATGCGTTTCAAGCTGCCAGGTCTGGGACTCGAACCATGGTTGGCCATGTGGAAGTCCAGCAGCATAACCATTATACCATCTGCTGGTCCCTTTAATGAATTTTCTAAAAAATGATAGAAATGTCACAGGGATAACAACACAGTTACTATTATTATCACTGCACAAAGATCATTTAATAGACACTACTTCTAAAGATTTTTCTGCAGTATGGTTGGAGCTTATAAGGTACTAAATTATTTGTAATAGAACTTTGTTTTCATACTGTTGAAATTTAAGAGTTCTTAATATATTCTGGATATAATCAATACATGATTTTCAAATATGTTCTCCTAGTCCTGTGGCTTGTCTTTGAATTCTATTTTTACATGCTATAAAATTTACTTTTTTGATAAAATATAATTGATTTTTTTTCCTTTCATAGGTTGTGGTCTTGGCATTTTGCAATGTTCAATGCCAAACCCAAGGACTCATGTTTTTTTCTCCTATGTTTACTTTAAGAAATTTTAGCTTGGAGTTTCAAAGTTAATCGTACAGTTACCTAGGATTCCCAATTGTAGGCATCCACTTAAGAAAAATGGTAGCATACGTTTCCACAAAAACTGATAGTCAAATGTTTATATTGGGGCCAGCAGATGGCACAGCAGTTACATGCTGGACTCCTACGTGGCCAATCACAGTTCAAGTCCTGGATTCAGTGACTTGAAAATCACACTGGGTGCATGTGCATGTGTGCCCAAGCTCTTGGGAGGAGAATGGAGGAGAAGGGATTGCAGTGTAGCTATCCCCCACCCCCACCGTGGAAGGTGATTTCTCACTTTCCCTCTCGCTGTCTCTCTCTCATTTTGGCAAGCACATGCACCCTAAGGCAGAAACCTCTAAAACAAACCAAAAAAAGTTTATATCAAATTTACTTATTAAGAGATAAAAACTGGGAGACCAGCAGTTGGCGTAATGGCTATGCTCCCATGTAGTCGACCACATCTTGCGTCCCAGACCCAGTGGCTTAAACTCAAGTGGGGCGCATGTGCATGCATGCTCAAGATCCTGAGAGGAGATTGTGTGATTCATTTATATGACAGTATAGAAAAGGAAAAACTATAAGATGATAAACAGAACTCTTGTTACCAAGAGTTGAAAGTACAAAGAGGGACTAATTACAAAGAGGCAGCAGGGAGAATTTGTATAGTGTTAAAACTATTTGAAATAGAACTGAAAGAAGGGCACACTTTTTCTGTTGTATTCATCCCGAAACCTGTGATTCCAGTTTCACAATGAAAAAAACTTCAGACAAACTCAAACATAAGAATATTCAACCAATTATCTGACCAGTACTCTTCAAAACTATGAAAATGATAAAAATATGAACTGAAAAACTGTCACAGATTAAAAAAAAAAAAGGAGACATAATGACTAAATATAACGTGGTATGTTAGACTGGATCTTGGAACAGAAAAGGAACAATGTGGAATAGGATGAAATCCAAATAAAGTTTACAGTTAATAGTGTTACATGACTTTATTAGTTTAGACAAATAAACCATGGTTATGCAAAAGGTCAATAGTAGAGCAACATGGGCAAAGAATATGTGGGGCCTTCAAAAAGTTCGTGGAAAAATAGAACTGAAGTACTAGTTTACTATGGTGCCTCCCACCCCGAATTGAGGAACAGCCTCCTACTGGTTAAGAGACTAAGACCCCACATGGATGATGGCAGTTCAGATCTTGGTCCCAGCAGCTTGAAAAACATGCCAGGTACATGTGCATGCCACATCCTGAAGGGATGGAGAAATGCAGAAGAAGGGATTGTCGTGTGACCACACCCCATAGTGAGGGTGCTTTCTTCCTTTCTTCTTTCTTTCTCTCTCTCTTTCTGATGAGCACACACACACTCTAGCAATTAAAAACAAATTCAAAGAAAACTTTTAATTGAAATAAGTCCATAGTTTTCTCTTAACACATATTTTCATGAAGGTTTTGAAGAGTCCCCTTTTGCCATCTATACAAATGTTCTTACTCCCTTTGCGAATTTTCTGTACTTCTAAACTTTTTAAAAAACAAAAAGGTTTGAGACTAAGACAATAGTACATTTTCAGAGAACAAAAATGAAAGTATGCAGTACATGATATATTTAAAAGGATGCCTTTCAGGTTGAAAGAAATGACTGTAGATGGAAACTTGAGTGTAAACAATGAGTTTACACAGATGTTAAATTTATGAGTAAGTACGAATTCATTTTTCCTCATTTTTAATTTCTTTTAATATAAATTTGAAGCTTTAGAGCTAAAATAATAACAAAGAGTTTATAGCACACATAAGTAAATGACAACAATAATACAAAGGAATAATAGGCAGAAAAAAAAGGAATAATATTACTTAATATCCCTACATTATGCCTCAAGAAGTATGATAATATTTGAAAGGTTGATAATAATATGTAAAACATTCACATTATAAACTCTATGAATGAAATATAAAACAGATAAACCACAGAGAAAAATCAAGGATATTAAAAATGGGTTCTTTGAAAAGATCAATGAAATTTGTAATCATCCAGATGGACTAATTAGAAGGGGAAAAGGACATATGTTGTTAATATTAGGAAAATGAAAGGGGGAGCACCACTACAAATGCTACAAAATGATAAGAAAATATTATGAACAACTTAGGGCAATAAATATAAAGTCATACCTGAAATGAACAAATTTCTTAAAAGAAACAGCTAGCAATGATTCAGAAGAAACAGAAAATCTGTGGGTCAGCCAATCTGTGGGTCAGAAAATCTGTGTGTGGTTAGGGTGGCTGAATCCCACATAGCCGACTGCATGGTGGGCCATGTGCATGCATGCCCAAAATCACAAGAGGAGAAGGGATTGTGGCATGGCTATCCCCCCTCTCCCTGGAAGACAGAGGAAGTGGGGAGGGTGTTTTCTCACTCCTCACCATTCCCCACCCTGACCCCATGTCTCTTCAGCAAGCACATGTAGCCATAGAGGGAGGGAGGGAGGGAGGGAGGGAGAGAGAGAGAGAGAGAGAGAGAGAGAGAGAAAGAAAGAAAGAAAGAGAAAGAGAGAAAGAAAGAAAGAAAGAAAGAAAGAAAGAAAGAAAGAAAGAAAGAAAGAAAGAAAGAAAGAAAGAAAGAAAGAAGAAAGAAAAGAAAGGAAGAAAGAAAG